AAAGGGATTCCTTCCAATCCTCGAAATGATAACAATTATGACGACCGGAAGAGGTGAGGACGTTCATCGAACGCTCCAAATGACCGGAAGGGACAATTATGATCATCGAGACCATACAATCAAGAAGGCCGGAAGCGATCACTTGAGGTCATCAAAATTGCAATGATGTAGATGACCGGAAGGGGTCTTTCCGGTCATCGAATGGTCTTGATGACCGGAAGGGATTCCTTCCGGTCATCGAGACCATACAATCTCGATGGCCAGAAGGGATTCCTTCCGGTCATCGAGACTGTACAGTCTCGATGACTGGAGGGGAATCCCCCCCGGCCAGTGGGAGGGAAGCGACTCCCAAACCTCCCACTTGCCAAGGAGGTTTTGGGCGCCGACTCCCACCCAAAAAAATAAAAAAAAATAAAAAAAAATAAAATTGGATTGGGAGGTCGACTCCCAATCCCCCAGGGGGAATTGGAAGGACGACTCCCGTCCGACGACCCCTCGACCAAAATGGGAGTCGTCGTCAAATTTTTGGGAGTCGTTTTTCCAACCCCCTTTATTTAATGTACTACAACAGTAGTTCTCCCATGATGTAATGGGAATCTTGTAGTAGATTAAATACAGTATTTTCTATGTCACCATGATATCATGATGCATTGTCATAGCCAATTAAATCATGTGCCTACCTGTATTAGAATAATGGAGGACTTCCTGTCATCTAAATTTGTAAATTTACAAGCAAGGGCTAAACAATATTGGCTGGTGAAAATTGCTTGACCTTGAAATTTCACCAGCAAACATATTTTAGCTGGTCCATCTAAATTAAGCCATCTGGTTGACAAGAAGTCCTCCAATACTGATGGAAATTACCACACACTTGAAAAAGACTGGTAATTTCTACGATTTGAATTATTGTCTTCAATTGTAGTTAAAAATATGTATTATAATTTAATATTTATTTTATAATATTTTGGAGTATTTTATATTTTTATTAAGACTGTCTGCTGAGTAGGTGATTTGAAAAAGATAATAAAGAACGATAAAATCATAAAATAAAAATAAAATCAAGATGAATGAAAAATAATATGAAGATAAAATAATCAGAGGAAGTAAAATAATAAAATGAAACAAAAACATAGTAAAATAATGTAATGAAGGAAACTGTTGAGCTGAGAGGAGATTTGACGTGATATTGTTGAAATCTTGAGGCTTGAGGATATTGAAAGGTTGAAATTTGAAAGTTGAAATTCAACCTTGAGGGGGCCTGTACCGTTTAGAACACCACACCGGTCAAATGATATCTCATTGACTGGAAGGAATCACTTCTGGTCAATGTGGTAGCTCAACCTCATTGGCCAGAAAGAATTCCTTCTGTTTGATGAGCTATAAAAACCTCACCAACCAGAAGGATTTCCTTCCAGTTGATGAGGTATAACAAACTCATCAACCAGAAGGATTTCCTTCCAGTTGATGAGGTATAACAAACTCATCAACCAGAAGGATTTCCTTCCAGTTGATGAGGTATAACAAACTCATCAACCACAAGGATTTCCTTCCAGTTGATGAGGTATAACAACCTCATCAACCAGAAGGAATCCCTTCTGGTCAAATAATACCTCATTGACTGGAAGGAGTCCCTTCTGGTCAATGTGTTAGCTCAACCTCATTAGCCAGAAAGAATTCCTTCCTGTTGATGAGGTTGTTATACCTCATTGACCAGTTTGGAATTAATCTTGGGAGAAATATAGATTAAAACAGAATGGTGCTTTAATGGTATGCCTCTCTGGTAGCTAGGTTGAGTAAGGTAACAAGAAAAGAGCAATAGTATGGACTCTTGAGGAATAGATGTGGCTATGGATATTTCTTGAGGATGGAATGTCTAAAGTCTTATCTTTACTCGCCTAGATATACTTGTTCACAAATCAAGGTATCCCAAATTTTTGATGGGCATATACCTGGCTAATAATGGCTGATCAGTTATCTGGCTTTCTGGGTAAGGATCTGATAAGGAAAAAATGAAGAGAAAAACAAAGCTCCTTCTATACAAAATTCTGGGGAGTGGCCAGCTTGTGGTTGGAAGAGGAATGGAAAAAAATGGACAAAAGAACAAACATGGAAGAAAATAATCACTATGAACAATGTGTCCCAATTTAGTGTGGCACTAATATAAGTAGTAAGATAATATAAGACTAGAATGAAACAAGAGAAAGAGCCAAGCTAAGATAAGATAAGGAATTTAGTCTGAAACAGAGAGAGGCGTAGCTATTTTAATTTTTTATCAAGAGGAAGATCCAGGGCCAATCATTTCACCCAAATGGGGATTGAAAAAGCAATGGGAAGAAAGTATCAAAGAGGATTAGTATGAAACACACCTGATATGTATGCATTCTTGGCATGAGATGGAAGGAGATAAGAGAAGAAATATTTTTAGAGGGGTTTGAGGATATATTGAGAAGGGGTACTAGGGTGTAGTTGGTGTGTGAGCTAATTATTATCAATAATGAGCTAGGAATTTGGCCATGGGTTTCATTTGAGGAGTTTCAGAGGTGTGTGATATGTTATTATCCATGAGGGGGGAAATTGTGTGGATAACAGGCGTGTCGGATTTGTTTGAGGTCCTGGGGAATTCCTGAGGGGTATTGGGTCTGTGATTCCTGTGTCATAAGTAGTTTTGCTGTGCTTTCAGATTCAGGATTGGCTTACCACACCAAAAGGAGTTCCTTCTGGTCAAGTTGGAGCAACTCCAAATTAAACCCCACAAGCGTGAGGGGTGGTTTGGGGAGCCAACTCCCAAAGATTCAAAAAAAAAAAATCAAAAGATAAAAAAATGGATGGCTGACTCCCAAGTCCAGCCATCCGTCTGGAGGTATGAATCCCAACAGATGGCAGGCAACAGTCTTTGGGAGTTGTTGGTGAATCCTTGGTAGTCAATTAACCAACTCCCCTAAAATATTCAGTGGGGACATGTTGGCAATTTATAAAAACCTTGATGAAACTATCCTGGTTGTTTTCAGTGCTTTACACTTAAATTCCTGAAAATTATATGTATCTAAATAACCTTTCAGAGTCAAAAATTTTGCAATTTCTTTAATGCTATTTCAATCTATCAAATTTTAGAAAACATGTTGTATGTCTAGTGCTACAAAAAAGGGGTAAGGATGATACAATTTCAAAACAACAAAACTTTGCACTTAGAAACAACATGGCTATTCCCAGTTGACCAAATGGGCATGTAAAATCACAACTTGGAAAGCTAAAATGATTCATTATTTTTCACACATGGCCCCAAATCAGCAAGTTGACTTTCCCATTTTTCCCAAGAGCTCCGTTTGTCATGACGTAGCCCCCCTATAAAACCAGGCTGAAGTAAATACAATACACTTCACCAGGATAAAGTACAGCTTAAAATACTGGGCATCACTCACCCTGGTATCACATTCTTGCATCACCTTTTGAAATAAAATGTCAATATCAGACTTAAACCTAATGAGAGATGTTGAATAAGTGCCAAACCATCAAAATTAGTTCAGCTTATTTTTAAGCTTACGCCTCAACCTTTGATCCATCAGATGTCCATACACTGGCCTGATGTATCAGATTGTTTTAAAGAAAAAGTACACTTCACTCATTAGTGCAAGGTGCTCTGAGGGCTGGAGATAATTTGCCATGGGGATGAGGATTATTTTGACTCACAACACATTTTTTGACAGAAGAGCTGATTGAATTCATGGGTACATGTTGGTCAACTGACACAAAGCGCCCAGAATCATTGGTAGGGATCAATCTGTAGGCCCTGTGTACATATCAGTCAAATCAATAAATAACCAATCATTATTGGGCCATCAGCATCCAAGAAGGCAGTACCCTTCACAGGTGAAAAAAAAGACATACTCCACACAATCTTGCTTAACTATTTTGATGCCTTTGGGTCCATTGGAGCAGAACACTCGGTTTAACTCCATATCATCCTCCCATGAAGATGCACTTGGATGTCTATGGTGTCTGGTCGACAACCGAACCCCATCAAAACCTGGGAGAGCGGCACTACCAGACTAAATGTGATGCCAAAATTATCTGTTGGAATCAGCATTCTGAGATCCCCCTCTGGTTATGATTGAGAGCTGCAAAGTATGAACGCACACGACTGTTACATCTTGCTAAAATTTGGTCAAACGCATTTTCAATTATTGCCTTGGGGCTGTTGGAAACAAAGTAATATTAAATTGTTTGTTGATTTGAAATTGACGCAAGGGCAATCTGAGAAAGATTCTTTGACTCACACATTCATGAATTTTGGGTTTTTGATGTTCGTCTAGTGGAGAAGATTTATGATTAACATCCACAGAGAATTCTGGTGAATCAAAACTAAAGAACGTACAACACAGCTTCCAGAAGTCCTTTCGGCACTACTTTCATTTTGGTCAAGGGTTGAATCTCCATCGTAGAGAATTTTGCGGTATGCACTGTATTGGTTCGGGGTTGACAAAGAAGAGAATGCAAATGTCAATGAGGCAAATACTCCGGTTGATTGACAGGGAATGTTTGAAAATGTTTTGAGAGTAAAACCGGGAAGCTCACGCTGCGCAATCACCTGCATGCAAGTTCTTTTTGTGACCACATGTGATATGTTTAAGAGATGATGGTTTGGTTTGTTGGAGGGAGCTCTGGAGATTCAGCAAGCTGATTGCGACGACAAGAACAACTCGATGCAATGCCATGTCTTCCGTCTGATGTCACTTCTGGGTTGGATTGGGGGAATTCAATGATCTATGAAGCTTAAATTGTAAAGTGGGTTACCGATTTTCTGATTGCAACTCGGGATCTTAAATAGGGATGAAATGGGCGTCAAAGTGAGGGACATTTGACATTCCAATGCCACGCTCCGGTTAGTGGCTGCCGTTCACCGGTGCTCTCGTGGGTGGTTGCCGTTCACCCGTGCTCTCGTTGGTGGCTGCCGTTCACCGGTGCACTCGTTGATGGCAACAGTGTGGCAATCGTTGGTGACTCTCGTTGGAAGGCGTAGGGTTACGCGTATGAGCATGAGGCTCTGTCGAACAAGAAGAAAGAATGCAGCCTGCAATGTGTATTCGCTTGGGCCGAGTGCATCCAATTTCTATCGTCATGTCTTTGATGCTGCTGAAGATAAGTGTGAAACCAGATCTGGATTCATTAATTATGTTAGTTGTACAGTTTCATGACCCATAGTCTAAACACTTTCACCAAGAATATTAATCGTTTCTTTCTCCATTTTCAGAACTCTATCATGTGTTTTTCTGTGATCATTTGTTTTGATTGAGGTGTTCCCTCCATGAGAAACAAAGGTCTCTTCTTGAGCCGGAATAACAGATTATTTCAAGCCAATCCCACAATCTTCTTCGGGCTCAAGCCTCCCAATTTAGGCAAACTCTTTATTTTTCGTTCTTGTCCAACGTTTTTGTTTATATTTTTGAGATCTCTATATTACTGATAGCACTTATAGCGCGCTCTTTCGCATGTTTGTGTTAAAATAAATGATTCCTTTCAAACTCTTTGCTCTACGCATCAGGAAACTCAAAAAATTGATAATTGGATTAAAACCTGTCAAACCGCATACTTTTAACCAGTATGCCCTTAGACAGGTTTTTCCATAAGGGCACATAGCCTGTAAAACCACATGAAGGGGCTTCCACGGAGGGGTATACGGTTTCACGGTTTTGACTGTATTTTTGGCAAATTTCATAATGATGAGTTGATTTTTATTCACAGGTTTTAGTTTTTAAATTCTTTGTTACATGCAAATCTGCCTATTTCTTTGTCCATTTACCTTTCTTCATCTGATCTAATTTGGAATTGGCAAGCTTCTTTTTGAATAGTATAAATCCTGACCAAAGTACAAGAACAGTCTGAATGAGATTGAGAGATATCATGAAAAGGGGGGGCTGTGAGATATGGAGAGTCTTACAGGAATGGTCTCAAGGTGGCTCAATGAAAGGATGAGGAGGAAACAATGATTCCAGATATCTTGGGTCTGATGCACTTAAATAAGTTACATACTGGTTGGTTGTATTGTGGTTGGGTAGAAATGATTAAAAAAATAATAACAATCAGAAAATATTTCAAAGGGAAAAAGTTGGCATAACAAATGAGAATCAACGTGGTGTAGAGAATGAAGTTGGAGGTGAATTCTTCTAGAGATACAAAAGAGGGTAACTGAGTCAGAGATAAACAAAGAACAATGTCAAGACAAGGAGAAGAAAATTAAAAAGAACGAGCAAAATAGATAGGTAGGTGGACCGATAGAATGATAAGATAAAACTGACAAAAAGAAGGCAGAATAGAAGAAAAATGTCGATCGTTTTTTTGTTCTCTTTTCAATTGGGCAACCTCTTCCCAGACGGAGAACAGCACAACAGATCATTTTCTTGCTTCACTATGATTCACAATTGTGATCGATCAAAAGAAAATAATCAGTTACTCTTTCTAATCCAACCCCCCCCCCCCCAAAAAAAAAGGAGCAATCTGTGTAAACTCACTCAAAGGATTTTTCTTTTTCGAGCGAGCTAAAAGAAGCATAAAAATGATGAAGTGATCAATCAATCCAAGTCAGGAGCCATGAACTCCATGCCAACAATGAGACCAAGAGCGGCACGACGGGCGACGAGGACAGAGCCACGAAAGCCTTTAGCAGACAGACGATCGAGGATCTGGTCGACAGCTTGGATAGATTTAGACTTGGATCGGGCTTGGACTGTGAAGAGACACTGGATGATTTCCCAAACGAAGTTTTCTTTCCAATTGATGTGCTCGGCGGAGAAGACGATGGCGACGAGTGTATCGATGGCCGCCTGACGGACCCGTCCAGAAGTCTCATTTGATTCGATCAATCGGCGCATTCTAGGCCAGATCTCGTTGACTAATCGTCTGCTCATGAATGTGCCCACATGTTGACACAGACTCTTCAGTAAGCTCAAAGTTTCGATCGCCGTTCGATCGTCATCCAACCGACTGAGGATGATCGTCCAGAACCGTTGGATGACCGGCAAGAGTGATGATTCGTGTGGGTTGAGAGAGGTCGATCCTAGGATGGGGATTGCGTCATTGATCAGTAGACTGACACCTAGACGGACATTAGCCGATGAATGGGTGAGGAAATTCGCAGATTTGCTCATCAGCTCGGCTGCGATTCTTTGGTAGCCGGTCAGCGGTGGTGGTGGGGACTCCTTCTCATCCCCATCGGCAACGGATTCAGCTCCAGACGGGTGCTCGTCAAGCTCCCCGAAAGGTTTCCGTGGATTTTTCTCTGGTGAACTGCTAGTCGGAGGGGCTCTCTGGAACTCCTGCCGTTTCGCTCGCGCGGCTTGAAGGGTTTTGAATTGTTCGAGATCAGTTGAAATATCGGTAGGAGGCCCAGCAAGCGCCCAACAAACGCTCGCAAGTTGTTGCTCAATCTCAAAGACTTCATCGATTGGGTTCTCAGATTGACAATTGCTTTTCGCGTCTGTACCGTTATTATCCCCTGTGGTGGGGGCATCAAGTCTATGCTGGGCTTGTTCAAACGCTGTCTCTTTGTTCATCAGGTTCATCACACAACGGAAGACGCTTATGATCTGTTCACACATCAAGTCGTAGCCATGATAGTCGTCCAAAAGCTCGAAAAAGTCATGAAGGAGAATCTGCTCTACCAGCGGAAGCATGGCGCGCAACCCAACGAGTCTGATGAGATGCTCTAACACAAAAGGGGCCTGCATGTCGTACTGATGTGGCAATAGTTGATGTGAAACCATATGAGTAAGATAATCTGAGTTGTCTTCGAGCATGTTGGCTACCGATGCGTAGCCACAGTACAATGCGAGCTCGCTGACGGTAGTCATCGCATGTTGGTTAACGTAAGGATTCAGAGACCCCAATTGGGCTAGAACGTAGTACAAGACCCAGGACAAATTGGCCTGAAAGTTTCCTTCGAAAACATAGCCCAAGGAAGCGATTAGTCGAAGGATCAAACACGTCCTCAAAGACTGGAAGTTGTCATTCTCGATCAATTCATCTGATTCTCGGGATAGGCTAGTTGGTTTGAGACGTTCAAGTTCCAAAAGTTGATCGTTACCCCTTAAATATTTCGTCACTGAGAGATTGTCTAGAGCTTGGTTTACAGCCACCATTTCTGAAGAAGAGCCATCTGCTTCTTCTGAAGTCTGGCCTCCTTCGATTCGATGGCTTTCAGATATGTCGAGCAATTTTTTCAACCCTTGTAGACAGAAGATTTCAATCCTACCGAATCTAGTGCGGTATCGATCATCAGCTGACATTGATTTTGAAGCCCTGATTGATTCACCGAACGTCCACAGAGCGTTTAGTTGTAAACAGCTTTGCTGGACGTCTAACGGCTTTGCGCCTTTCGTGGTGGTTGCCAATTGCAACAATTGATCAAAATATACAATTTCTGAAATTTTGATCGACGACCCCGACGTCAAGCAGGATAGGTGTAATACGAGTCGAGAGATTGTACGGACTAACTCCTCGAGGGCTGTGATACAGTTGTAATGGAAAATGTTCTTCACAGATAGGTTGGGGAACGTGCTAGGCAGGGGGGCAGGATCTAGTTGATGCTTCGATTGACCACGAGAACGATCAGGGGTAGAACAGGCTCCTGATGGCAAAAGTCGATCGGGCTGTGAATCGAGAACTTTGGGCATTACAAGCTGTACGCGACACAAGATGGATGTAAGTAAATCTTGAAACTCGCCCAAATCGAAAAAATCGTGACAGGATTGATAAAAGCGAGTGGGGCGAGTTTGATGAGCAATGAGTTCGATGATTATGTTAAGAGAAGATGTAATTCGTGAGCTCAAATGAGTTATTTCATCATCTTGACCGGATACTTGCTTGACCAAGAGGTTTGAAAGCGAGCGCAAATTGGTCCGGATGAAGTGAACGAGGACTTGGAAACTTGCAAGTGGAGACGACCTTGTGACATTGGCCAGTGATGAACAAATCTTATCGTGAGACGCGTCAAGGTTTCGGTTGGACTGGACGGAAATCAGGGCTTCGAGAATTACCGCAAAACCTTCCTTTTCCCCGTCATCAGGATGGCTTCCACTGTTCTCGGCAGAACACAATCTTAATCTCAATACGACGCTTGTACGTTCTAGCAAGCGAGAGCAAAGGTGAACCCAAGCTTCACGGACAATTGGACTAGTATGAGTATCTAAACACGGAGACAGTCGTTGAAGGACGATCGAAATTTTAGCTGAAGTCATTCTTAGCCACGACCGATCACGTTTGACGAGTATTTCTTGGCTGTCGGTACTGTGACGAGACGCTGGCGGAGACGACTTTGCAGCAGCCTGGGAAGGGGTACGAGTGGCTTGTGACTGGCCAAGTTTCCAATCTGATGCAATTTCGAGGACTTGACTATAGATGTCGGACTGAGAAGGCTGATCTAGATCGGGTTCGCAATCAACCAGCTGAAGTTGACAATCACCAAGGAGTTCCTGAACATCAGGTAAATCATCATCCAAGCATTCGACCAAGAGCCATTCAAGGGTGTGGAGCGTTAAGCTGAGTAACTCAGAAGATTGGCGCCTTTGGGCTAGAAGACAGGCCAGTTGAGTGAGTTTCGAGGTGATGCTAGGTAGAAAGGTACTGAGGATATCGACACCAGTACCACCTGAGATGTTGGAAGATGATAGTCGAAGTAAACCAAGCCTGATTAGCTGAATGGTATTCCTTGCTCGGTTCCCACTGGGTTGAGATTGCTTAGGGTTAGCGTAAATCTGGTAGAGAGTATTTAAGATATCGACAAGGTGTTGGAATAGGAATCGAAGGAGGTAAGCTGATAGAGATGGTAAGTTGGGCGGATTTTGGTATAGATTATCCAAGTTCAAAGATGGCCTTGATTGATTCGGAAAATGAGGATAGAGAATTGCGATCATCAAGTCCAGTGCCAAGCTTGCACTCTCGTCAGATCGAGCAGGTTTCCATGCAGGAGATTTCTTTTCTGCATTTGATTCATTAGATCCAGTGTTCTGGATGAGGATTGGGAGGATGGAGTTGATGATTAGAGTTTCCTTGGAAGTCCATAGCGCGTTGGGCTCGTGTAATTTGGCAGCTCTGACTAGGAGAGATGACAATTCCAAGACTTGATTGAGGCAAGATTCTGATAAGGATTGGAGGTTGATTTGATGGTAAAGTTGTTCGATTGGAAAGAATATATAATGAATCATTGGAGGTGTCATCAGGTCGGGTTGAGAATGGTTGAGAACAATAGCCTTGATCGACGCGAGAATTGGAAGAAGTTGGAGCGAGTGAGTCGGATTTTTGATCGGAAGCATCCCGATGATAGGAACGGTGAGAGGCTTGATCTGGAATGAGATTCAGAGTAGAAGCCAACCAATAAGCCAAGTCCGACAAGACCAAGCAAGCATATAGGTAAACAAAATGGATAGCTACCTGCTTGAACAGCATCGCTTGATCGAGTTTCGCAAGGGGATGAGTCGGCTGGTGTTTACTTTCTCCATTCTTGATGAGCTCGGGTGTCTTGCTTGAGGAACTGAGACCGTTGATGGTCATGGTGATGGTCATGAGATGCTTGAGCTGTGAAGGAGTGATGGGCAAGAGTGGAAGCAAACTGGAACCTCAAAACCCCGGGGAGACAGTTTTCCCCAGACACCTCCCGGGACCCGGGGGGATTCTAGTTACAGCTCCTTTCGGGTATCTTGTCAGAGCATCTCCACCGCGGGTGGTAAATCGGGGTTGCCAATTCCCAAACGATGGGAGGACAGAAAGTGCCCTAACTTAACCCAAACCTCGATCGGGATTCGGAGCGGCGCCAGAGGCTGGCGCGAAGCGAGCCTCCCTTCGAAGTTCGCGAGGAGAAGGGGATTGTGTTGGCGACCACCATGTCCTCGTTTTTTCCTTTGATTTGATTACATGACCACCTTCAGACTTCTAGACAACTCGTGCCCACTGGGGAAAACACGATGATCTAGGACCATATCCATACTGGTGGGTCAAAATTGAGAGAGGGATGCTTCCCTGTTGCCTTTTTGCTTAAACGCTATATGTGTCCAGAGCATGTTCTGAGTGACATATGTATTGGAGCTACATAGTGCTGCTGGATAACCCTCCTGTGATGGCTTCCCCCTTCGGCTCACGGCGATACATATGAGCTGGAAGGAGTCGGTTGCCATGACTCCATGACTGGCATCAACTCGATCGATTTCCCTTTCTTTTGAACAATACTGATATCACATCAGACTCCGCACGTGAGTGGCAGACAGAGTGGCATGGATGCGTGGATGTATTCAGGATCCCGGCTGCAGGAACCAGGCCAAGTCCTGCCGTAGCGCGGTGCCTTCAACCTGACTCTGATGATGCAACCAGCAACCAAAGAAAGGCAGATTGAGGGTCTCATGGAAATTGCCAGTAAGAGGGCATGGACCGACCAGGAGACAAGTATCGAGGGTACGCATACAGGCAGTGTAGCCTAGCTCACGGCCCCAGCCGATCGGAGCGCCTTTTACAGAACACACACTGGCTGCTGCCCTATATAGTCTGCAGTAACAGGCCGCTAAGCAGCATGATCATCGCGTGTTCAACACTTCTCCATTTTGAACCGGCTCTGCCCTTATGAGATACTAAGAGTGCCTGATTGCCAGACATCCCCCTAGCAATCAAAGCACTGCCACAATCGACTGGCGGCCCTGTTTCCCTCCCTGACTTGCAGGACTGCCTGAACCCGGTATCGGGCGCTGCCGAGGTATAAAGCCCAGCACATCTGTGGCTCAAGAAGTCCATCAATCTCCTCATCCTTGAGCAAGAAAAGCTTTCATTATACAACCCTATCTGTACTCTATCCGTCCACGACCACAACCTTACTCATTATCTATTCCTACTATCTTCGCAAAGATGCCTAACATTAGCAACATGACCCCATCTCCAAAACAAAGGAACCGTTTTATTTCTACCATCCGTCGCACCCTGAGGACTAATCCCCAGCCTGCTAGTCCTACCACTCCCCCATTTGGCAAACAAGTAAGTAAAATTCTACATTGGTTATCCCTCACTGGACCGGGCTCTGAACTTCCATTGGCCTCTTCTTACATTTCAGAAGACCCCTTTCGCCACTTCAATCGAACCCCGAGCCTCGCACGCCTCCTCGTCTCCATCAAGTTCAGGCTCTAGTGACGTATCCACCCCTTCTCCATCCAACAGCTCTTCCCAGCCAACCCCGCAGCAACGACGGTATGCAGCAGTGTTCTCGAAAATCACCTTCAGCACCGCTGAGTTCATCGAGGACAGATATATCTATTCTCAAAGCCCTGAGAAGCCTGAGGACCCGCTGAGCTTGGCAACAGAAGAGCTTGTCCCTTGTCCATCCTTCTTCGCGATTCCTGCAACCAGACAACCGTCCGTGATAGACCAGCCTGCGGTCCGGCTTGATCAGACCTCAAACCCCACCGAGCACCGCATCAGCTTCGCTGGGCTCTCCGATCTTTCCACTCCAACCTCGCCGCTCCGCTCGTGCTTCCAGGAAGTGTTTGATCTGATTGAAGCCGGACTGGCGGATAATCCATTTGATCTTATTGGAGCCGAAATTTCAGATGAACCCTTCAATCTTCTCGGCGTCGGAAGGTTGACTGAACCCTTAGACTTTCCTCGAGCCACCATCCGGCATAGGTCTATCGAAGCCGACACCCCGGTGATCCGGTTGGACATTCCCGCAGTGGGGACCTCGCCAGAATCCCTTGAACTTCAGGAATCATTTGATCTCCCTGGAATTGGCGCGTCGGAGAAATCTTTTGATCTCCCTGGGCTCGGCATGCCGGAAGAGTCCGATTCTCTTGGGCTCGACACGTCGGAAGACTCTTTTGATCTTTCTGGGGTCGCCACGCCAGACGAGTCTTTCGATCATCAAGAAGCTAGCATGCCCATTGAACAAGGTGGCGTGACTGAGCACAAGGCTGAGACGGTCCCTTCGGTCGATAACTCCATCCAAAGCTTTTTGTATTCGTTGTCGGCCTCTCTGCGCAGCGACCCGACCGAGTTTTCTCCCCGGATCTCCGAGTGGGATCAAGAATCAAACGGGTTCTCGTGGCTCAATTTGGACGACGAACACGACTTGAACCAACCGGAGTCGCTCTCCGAGCTCGGTAACTCCAGGGGCCGACACACCGAGTACCTCTCTCGACCTACGTTTTTGAAACGCTCCCCTGCCAGAGTCAAAAAACTATCTTCCAAACAAAAAAAATAAGTTTTTCTCCCATCTTTCCTACAAAAATTATCAGTTAAGTCAGCATTATGGAGAACACCTGTAAGGCTATAAAAAAAGGACACTTTGTGCTTTGTGATGAAATCGCTCTTTCCAGAAAACCTCGATCCTAGTTAGTTAATTTGTAGCTGTATCCTTAGTATTAGTATTAGTATCAGTCTCCTATGTATCTCGGTCAAGTTTTCGTAATATTTATCTCAGTCTGTCGTCATCCGGCTACCTCTTCATCCCATTATTTTTATCATATCAGTTAAGGAATCTTCATTTCATTTCAACATCAACAAAAGTATATAAAAATGCACACTGGCTTCACCCTCCTATTTCCATCTCTTCCCATCTCTATGGTTGATTGACATTTTTTTATTTGTATTGGTAGTCCACAAATTTTCTGGTCTATTTTACCTTGAAGTATCAGTGAACAGCAATCATTAAACCCCTTATTTATTGAGATGTTGCCATGCGAGGAATCAGAGATGTCAGAACAATTTCGACTCATCTGTATGATAATTTTTTTTGGGTTGTAAGTACTTTTGCACATTGATTGAGAGATCAGCGGGAAGTGGCAGGATCCTTTCATTTTAGAATCTCAGAGGTCACGAACTGTGTATCTACCGTCTGTTTGCCACTCAAGAGTCTTCTGATGAATAGGACAGACTTCTTATAGTCAAATGAACCCAACATGAAATCAAAAAAGGTAGAAGGGCGCTCTGATTGAGAATTGATAATAAACGTAAAAAAAATCGGTTTACAACTGGTATACAATCTAATCAACGTTGATTATTTCAGACCATAACTTCTCGCGTCAAGGAATTTTGGACTGAGAATAAATGGGCCAGCATTCAGGGGCCCGAGTGCTTCTGAAGCTAAGGATAACACGTTTCAAACTATTTACTACCAGCTATGAAGGATTTAATTCGAGATGCCAGTTCTGGTGAAAGGAGTAAGTCGTCATGGTCGCCTGAAACACTTTCGAAATCGCTTTCTAGCTTATTCCCTAACGAAAGTTTAGATTCTAAGATAATGGCTGCCAACTCTGATTGTCGAATAGTCAACAAGGAGTCCTGGCGTGAATGTAAGATCAAAATTCGTGGACAAGTCGTTGGATTAACTGTTGATGACGACCAAGATAGTGGGCTGACATCTTCCAAATAAGTCAATCGATCAATGTCTTTTTCTTGAAAGGCCCCTGCGACGAAATCGTTATAACTTGGATATTCCTCGAGTAATTTTACAAGATCGTAGATACCATCGAGCAGGATCAAGCCACGGATATTCTTGCAAGTGGAAGGGGCGAGGCGAGGTGCTTCTGGCGAGGGAGGCTCCAAGATTCCGGCGAGCGAAAGACAAATGAAAGCGCCGACTGAATGGCCGATAAGATAGGTTTCGTCGATATCTTTGAGCTCCGGGAGGGTCTTGACATGTTCGATCGCTCTTGCCACATCCGCATTGTGAGTTGGATGTTTGACATCACTCTCGGGGTTTACCTTGCCGGTTGATAGGCGATAGTTCACCGAGCAGATTGCTGCTGTAGGAAACTGACTTGAGAGGTTCCCGATCAGGCCGACGGAGTGCCTGTCTGCTTTATCTCCTAGCGAAACAATGAATTATTTGAGTACGGGCTCTTGGAATCATGTTCACGCCTGGCCACTTCAGAAACTAATGTTGAAAAAGATGCCTGGTCATTTACCTGCTCTCCATGCTCCGCCATGGACATAAGTTACAAGTTGAGTGAGCTTCGGAGGTGCCGCCAAAGGAATGTAAACATCGAAGCATTGATATGGTGGAATACCCCCGGGGTAGGTCAGGCTATCGAGGAGTCGGTGGTTGACAGTCATGATGGGGGTTGAGGTACACTCAGATGCAGTTTTCAAGCAGGCGTATTCTGATGTTTTTAGGTACAAGTGCTGCTTTCTGAGGAAACTTGTATGATGTATGTGTGGTCTCGTCGAAGGGATCCTTCTGGAGAGGAAAAACTGGAGAAACTCGGAAGCAACCCGAAATGGAAAACACAAACCTCATCTCTCAGGATTTTCTGCAACTCTTTTCAGAGTATCCCTTGACATATCAAGCAGCAAGATATAGGTCAACGGGGAGTACGCTTCAAGGAAGAAAGCTTAACGACTGGAAGTAATGTTCATCACGCTATCTAAAACTCTGAGCACTCTGGGTCTACGTAGGACCTTTGAGAGTGTCACAGCCGTCCCGAGCCGATAGTGCCCGGCCAATCTGCGCACGGTTCACTACTTGATACAAGTTCCTCCGAAGGGGCCGCGAAGCGACCACCCTCAACGCGACCTCCTGCGAGTCGAGTCAATATACCTTCAGGCTTCTGTTGCGGAGAATCTGCATTCGTCATTTGTTGCTTCGCCCTCCACCCTCCTCCACCAGCCTCCACCAGCCTCCACCGCTATGTGACATCAGATAACAATCTCATGGGGGCCGGGCCCGGAAATCTATGAAAAGCTTGGAGCCTCAGTGAGGTTTCTAAAGCACTCTTTCTGTGACACATTATATCGGAGTTGATTAGCATTACATAATAAAATATGACTCATGAGTGGGCTTCCATCTCATCCCTCCACATCGTCTTACAAATCGCCTTAGAAACAAAAATCCGATTTATCTTGAGAGTTTGAATACGCACTCTTATGCACTGCTGGGGAGGTGCCCTGAACTTGAAGGCCAGATGCGATCACAAAGTGAGGAGAAGGAAGAAAAGCCTCCTGTCAGGTCAACAAGATCTCACATTATCCTGCGATCAACCCTCTAGGGACCACTCAAAAGTGTTCATAGACACATGAGGCCTAATTATGAGCTCACCTTTGGGTCAATCAGAATTTTGCTCCTTCAGCTTGGCTGAGCATCTTGCACTATTCACGAGACATTTTCTTTGCCGCAAGGGACTTCCCTCCCTCCTTCTTCAAGTTCAAGTCAGTGAATCTCCAAACGGCCAAACTACAGAAACTTATTGGACCAGAAGCCAATATTGCCAAGTAATTCATTGTGATTCGTAGATAGTCGAATCAAACTTCCTGTTTTTTTTTTTTTGCTTTACTGTCGGTTTCAATTGGAATCGGTAGCCTTGGGCCCCACCAATCTCTCCCATTTCCAACATGGTATTTTCCTTCTTTTTGATATGTCTCTTTTTGTGCTGCATGGGGGCAGATCCTCTATCGGCCATTCATGAAGAGCAGCGCCACTTTGAGATTCCTACCATTCCAGTATTTGGGTCTATTTTTGAGGGAAAAACTTATGATTACGTTATCGTTGGGGCTGGTACAGCGGGGATGACCATTGGTGAGTTCCCTGATAACCTTTGCTCCATGCTTGCTTATTCACGCTGGGCCAATGGACATCGTCGTTAATGGTCACATCTTTCTCCCAGCTGCTCGTCTATCTGAAGATCCCACCATACATGTTGCGGTTGTTGAAGCGGGAATTGACTACGCTCTGTCACCGGCTAACAAACCATTGGTTGATACACCTGGGGCCGACACTTTGGGATGCGGTAGCAAACAGTGTGAGGCGCAACTTATTAGAGCACACCACTTTGTATAAGAGATGGTTCGGTTATTTGTGCAAGGACTCATCTGAATAATCAATGAAAAAAATGCTTTGTAGATGACGCTATCAATGACGCCGTTGATTGGCGGTTCGACACCACACCACAGTCGGGAGCTAACAATCGTATAGTTCGCTACGCCAGGGGGAAAACTATTGGGGGCAGTTCGGCACGCAACTTTATGATTTATCAAAGAGCATCAAAAGGCTCTCTGGATAAATGGGCTGAGCTGACTGGGGATCCCGATTGGACGTTCGAAAAGCGGTTTGCTGATTATCAAAAGAGCGTCTCATTCACTGCTCCTAAGGTTAGCTATCATTTTGGCGCGAAAAATTTAAAACAAGGGTACAGAACTAACAGAAACATGATATCTTCTCTAGCATGATTTGCGCCAGGAGTTACCGGAAGCTCGATATGACGATCTTGCTTTCACCCAAGCAAACGGGCCGGTTCAGTTATCGTACCCCAACATGGCCCAACCTTTTTCAAAATACATGCAACTGAGTCTCAATGAGAAAGGTATTCCTACGTGCCAGGACTTCAACGGAGGGACGCTGAGTGGAGTGCAATACTCTTCAGCAACTATCGATCCAAAAGACGGCCATCGGTCCACCTCACGCGCCTTCTTCGCTGCCGCGCGTTCTCGTAGTAATCTGGTGGTTTACACTACGGCCATGGTGAAGAGGATTATCTTTGATGAATCGACACCGCCACGAGCGGAAGGGATTGAATTTGTTTACACGCTAACTGGTGTGTCTGATAAGCTGCTTGCAAAGAAAGAAGTGATTGTGTCGGCGGGTGCCTTCCAGACTCCACAACTGCTCATGGTTTGTAAGTAATACCGGATAATGAAGTGGATGTAGAAGATAAAATTAAAAACGACGTGCTGATATACCTGCTATTGATATACCTTAATTCAACAGCTGGGATTGGTCCCAAGGACCAGCTCACCGCCAACCAAATCCCAATACTTGTTGAGAGTCCGAATGTTGGACAAGGAATGCAAGATCAGTTGAGCCCAGTCAACAAGGATTCAAGTGCGCATCAACAACCTGCACTAATGAATTTCTTGTTGACATGTTTACGATTTCAGCATATTTTTTGGTCCCACTTATCCGGTTCATTCTATTGAAACGTTGACTCGCGTTGCCGCACACCCCGAGCATCTGGCCTCTCAATTCGTCAATTTCACTCTTCGGCAACTGGGCCCACTGACTAATAATGTTGCAGATATGATTGCTTTTGAAAAGTTTGACGAATCGAAGTTGGAGCAACTAAATTCAGATTCGCTCTCTGGTTATCCTACCGATTGGCCCCACGTCGAATACTTGAGTGCAGCCGGTGTAAGTGCTTCACTCGCTCTAGTGTATATAATGGGCAACTCCTTAAGTTTTAGATTTCGCGCTGAGGAATTGTTCTTACTTCTGAAAGGTTGTGGGTGACTTCGCAAATTTGCTCACTTCAAACGCTTTAGCTGGTGCGGCCACCGGAAAAGAGTTTGTGACAATTCTGGCGGCCTTAGTCGCTCCACAGTCCCGAGGAACTGTCAAGATTGCCTCAAATGATGCATCCGTTCCCCCCCTGATCGACCCAGCATGGCTAACTGACCCCGTCGATCAAAGAATTGCTGTCGAAGCTTTCAAAAGAACCAGGGAGTTCTTTTCGGCTGAAGCTATGCAACCCATCCTTGATGGCCAGGAATACCTACCAGGTCCTTCAGTCACCGGTGATGATCAAATCCTTGATTGGATTAAAAACAACCTTATGACGGGTATGCAGTTCCTTGCCTCTACAAATTCCGAAATTTGACTTATTGGCCCATTGGAATACTAACTCTACATGCCATCATTGTTTCTTAGTGTGGCATGCTGCTTGCACCTGTTCAATGAGAACTCAAGAACAGGGCGGAGTGCTTGATTCACATTTCAGAGTATATGGCACTCAGAGCCTTCGTGTCGTGGATGCATCCGCGTTTCCTTCGCTACCACCAGGCCATCCTCAGTCCACAGTGTACATGATAGCTGAACGAGCTGCTTCTTTGATACAAGAAGAAAACTCCTGAAGGACTGTTGGTGGATTCCTGGCGATCTCTCAATGTTTCTTCCACTTTTCGTGGAGGAAATTAGATATTTCGAATAGACTCCATGCATGAATAATTATGCATTTTGTTAACTAATTTCGTATCTTCTTTTCAAATCATCGATGCTCCATACTACCTCATTTGGACCCTTTTTTTTAGTTTTCACCACTGAAGCCTTGGGTGCAAGACCATACCTCGCACTTTATATTGTATGATATCCATTGCAAAAACCAAATCATCATTTCCGAAAAGAATTATCAACAGTGAGCTTTCAAATGTAGCTCTTCACCTGTGGCCATTATTCAAAAATAATCCAAACTTACTAAAAGCCTTGGAATTTTGTTCAAATAGAAGTTTGGAGGAGACCAAATTGAGTTCATTATTATATCATGTCATGCTTCCATGATATCATATTTAATTGAAAAATTTCTGTGGTAAAAACAGATGAGCTACATCCATAGTCTTCCTCTCAAGCTTTGATGTTTCCATACATCAGGAATCAGTTTGAATGAATTGTTCAGAGTCGAGCCAGAATTGGTCCAATTATTAAATTTATCTAGGATTCTAGAAAAATAATATAATTATCATGATTAGAATCTAGAACATCATTCCTAAAAGTCAACCCTGGACCTGGACTAGTGAAAACAGAAACTAAAAAATAAAGTAGATTAGAAAAGATAAACAATATAAAATGAACATCACAGTGTGATCTCAAGGATGAAAAAGAGCACTTGAATGAGACAAGCTGAGATATGTGACAATGTGTGAAATATTAAGAGTTTACATTATTACCTAAAACAATTGTCTGAGGATCAAGTCAAAGCTCAACAAAGGCTTCAGAGAATTTGCAGACTTTTTGAGGAAATCTGCTGAGGCCACATTTTCTTGAGAAATCTATCACAGGTGTGAATATTGCCTTATAAACTTGCTGAGGTGAAATGAAATGGGAATCTCACTGTATCTCTGTTTCAGATGGACAATGAGAAAGATTTGAAGCAAAGGTGGGATTTAAACTGGCTATTTGTGTAACTTAAGTTGAGAAAACATTGGATTATCTCTCACTACAATATTTGAAGTTCGAGTCTCAATGACTCACTCATTCCATGGAAATGAATCCTGCTATCAACCATTAGCCCATTTCTGTGCTCTCCAAGAACAAAGTGAAAACTTGTAGAATAAATCTTGCATCGAAATGTGTAGTGTATACCAAGGTCAGACTAATTTAACCCACTCAGTACAGCTTCCCAGGGGGCCCTCTTACAGAGCACAGCAAATTATTTTTTTAGGGGGGGGGGGCCTTCAGCCTTCTCCTAAGGAACTGCAGTCGTGCCCGATGAAGCTAGAGAAGACATCAGTGTCACATGAACAGCCGAAGGTTTGTAAATAAATATTGACTGCTGCGTGCCCATCATGATATTTGTATCGTTGTCTCATCTTGAACTCAATCAGACGGAGTGTTCAATTCCCAGCCATTCCCAGCTCAACCTGAGATAAATACGAGATGGCCGCTGTCGATCAATGTTGCTACACTGCATCCTGATTGCTCTGAGTCATCTCAGGTCATCTCCAGATCTCTTGGTGCTTGCGATCCTGCAGGGGCCTCAACACAAGACCAACGGTGTCATGAGGAAAGTCAAAAGGTGCATCCCCTCTTCCCGTGATACATATTGTCGTTTTGATCAAATTCTGATCCACAGCATTTCTTGAAAGCAAAACAATATGTATGTCGCAAAATTCGCAGTTTCACCTTAATCTTCAAATCCATTTAAAAATAAGCTTTGATTCCTTTCACTTTTTCATAGATTGCACGCTGCGGGGGGGGGGTACATACCAGAAGACTGCAGGCACGATGGAATTCGCAGTATGAAAAGAATAATAAAATAAACAACGCACTTTACGGCCATTACGGTGTCACATCGCCCTCATAGGATCAATCATAAATCCCCCCACGGAAGTGATCACACATGCTTTTCAGATATCCGAATTGCCACTTACCATAAAAAGGACTTCCATAATCACTGGGCCTATCTTTGAATTGTAGCAGACATCTCAAGACTGGCCAGGCTCACGTTTTCCAAATTCAGCATGGTATCAATATGTTTTGTGGCATGTCTCCTCATCTGCTTCATGGGAGTTAACCCTCTGACCGGTATCAGCGAAGATCATCTTCGCTTTGACAATCCAACTCATCAAGTTCGTGGCTCTTTGATGAAGAGAAAGACCCACCATTACATCATCGTTGGAGCCGGTACGGCCGGCATGACCATTGGTAAAGAAAAATCCAGTTTCACACGAGGTTTAATGGTTAAATGCTGAGCTCAATAACCTTGCCATTTTTGAAACTTCCTTCCAGCTGCCCGACTCTCCGAAGACCCGCATGTTCAAGTGGCAGTTGTTGAAGCAGGATTCGACTATGATCTATCGCCAGTGAACAAACGATTGGTTGACACGCCAGGAACCGATACTATAGGATGCGGTGGCAAGCAGTGTGAGAGATGATTCCATATGTTCCATCGGTTGGAATTATGGGTGACTCCAATGTTGCACCAAGAGCTGGCCAAGAATTGATGAGTGCGAAATTTGTAGATGACAACATGGCCGATGCCGTAGATTGGCGTTTTACCACCACACCTCAATCAGGAGCCAACAATCGCACAGTTCGCTACGCTAGGGGAAAAACTATTGGGGGCAGCTCGGCACGGAACTTTATGATTTATCACCGAGCATCAAAAGGTTCTTTAGACAAATGGGCCGAACTGACTGGTGATCCCGATTGGACGTTCGAAAAGCGGTTTGATGATTATCAAAAGAGCGTGTCATTTACTCCTCCCAAGGTCAGCAGAAATTTTGGTAGGGAAAAGTGAAGGCCGTCGTGGAAATTGAAAATATATATATATATATATATATATATATACTTGCTTCAGCATGATTTGCGCCAGGAGTTACCGGCAGCTCAATGTGATCCTCTAGCATTCACCCGATCAAATGGGCCGGTTCAAATCTCGTACCCTAACACGGCCCAACCTTTCTCGAAGTACATGCAACTGAGTCTCAATGAGAAAGGTATTCCTACCTGCCAAGACTTCAACGGAGGATCCTTGAGTGGTGTACAATATGCTTCAACAACCATCGACCCAAAAGACAGTCATCGATCCTCCTCACGTGCCTTCCTCGATGCCGCGCGTACTCGAAACAATCTGGTGGTTTACACGAGTGCCATGGTCAAAAGGATTATCTTCGATGAATCCACGCCACCCCGAGCGCAAGGGATTGAATTCCTGAATACGCTGGCAGGTTCATCTGATCAGCTGTTTGCAAAGAAGGAAGTGATTTTATCGGCCGGTACCTTTCAGTCTCCGCAACTACTTATGGTCTGTAAGTTATTTCGTATGACCACAATGGAAGTACTGGCAGAGACTTTCACAAATAGCGCGTTAATCGCTCCACTATGTACGAATTCCATTAGCTGGGATTGGACCCAGGGATCAGCTTACGGCTAACAAAATCCCAATACGCGTTGAAAATCCAAACGTTGGACGGGGAATGCAAGATCAGTTGAGTCAAGTGCACTGGCATTCGATTGCGCGAAAAAGTCTGATGATGCTAATCTTTGATCGATATTTACTTCTTGAAACTTTCAGTATATTTTTTGGGCCAACTCATCCGGTTCATACAATTGAGACACTGACTCGCATTGCGGTCAACACCGACTACTCCCTCTCCCAATACCTGAATTTCACTCGTCGACAATTGGGCCCAATGACAAATAATGCGGCCGACATGATCTCCTTTGAAAGATTCAATACATCAAAGCTGCTGCAGCTAAAAGCGCAATCTCTTTCTGACTACCCTGCGGATTGGCCGCATGTCGAATACTTGAGTGCCGGCGGCGTAAGTTCTCGACCTATTCAACTATCTTAAAAGAATTATGCCGCTTGTGGATTTCGTCCGAGGAAACTAAGAGCTTCAATATTTTTCTACAAGCTTGTGGGCGACTTCTCAGATCTACATAGGCTGAATTTGAAAGCTGGCATGGCCACCGGAAAGGAGTTTGTGACAATTCTGGCAGCTTTGGTCGCGCCACAGTCCCGAGGGACCGTCAAGATTACATCAAATGATGCATCCGTTCCTCCCCTGATCGACCCGGGATGGCTAACTGACCCTGTCGATCAAAGAATTGCTGTCGAAGCTTTCAAACGAACCCGGGAGTTTTTTTCGGCTAAAGCTATGCACCCAATTCTTGATGGGCAGGAGTATCTGCCGGGTCCCTCAGTCAACAGTGATGATCAAATTCTTGATTGGATAAAGAACAACCTCATGACGGGTATGTACGATCCCTCCCTCCAGAAATTTCGAGAAGGGATTCTAAGGCTAATCTCAAACTAACTCGACGTGTCAATATTAGTGTGGCATGCTGCTTGTACTTGTGCAATGAGAACCAAAGACCAGGGCGGCGTGCTTGATTCACATTTCAAGGTATATGATACTAAGGGTCTACGTGTCGTAGATGCTTCGGCTTTTCCTGCGCTACCACCAGGCCATCCCCAATCCACGGTATACATGATTGCTGAACGAGCGGCCTGTTTGATAAGAAAAGGAAAATGTTGAAGGGCTCCTATTAGCTTGTTGAAATGCCTTACGCCTTCGAACTTCCATAGTGGCATCAAGTTCACTGTTTTCGACATCTTTGTTCTCTTGCTTGATCACCAGGATCGTTTCTCTTTTTCACACCTTTTTCCCTTACCATTGCTACTATTGAGTTGACAATCCTGACATTCACCGCATCTCCAGAAGCATTACCCATTGATTTTTTGTTCCCACTGAGCATCATTTATTTAACACCATAGACACACGCATTATCCAACTCGCACCCCGTTCTACTTACAATGAAGAATGAGTTGATCTCTCTGATAACCACGAGCAGCTATCCAAATTGAAGCAATGCAATACGGGGGGGGGGGGGTGATTTAAACGTACGGAATCGTTGGTTTCAATGACAAATTCTGAAAAACTCGAATCATTGCGTTTTTTCTTAAAGGGAAAGCATGAAAAATTGGCAAAATGGGTCCTTTGTTCCCCACAAATTGGCATTTAATATCTGACACTTCTATGCAAGATTGGTGATATGAATCCAATGGCAGAATTTATTAAATAATGACCCAATTCCTATTAATTCCTTTAATCAAGTCCTCAATCTCCCACACTTTCAATGCTTCGTTTGTATGAGGACATCACATATGGTAGTATTCTAGTGATTGTCATAGTTTTGATGGCCGTGTTGCACGTCTTTCTACTCTATCTTACCTCTGCATTGATGTTACATAAATCTTTCAATTCGATTAGACTGAGCTAGTTCAGGCTGTGATGGTCAACAAGAACAGCATAAGTTAAAGCATCTGTTGAATAAAATCTCCATCCATCCTTGAATCGAGTTATATCAAAGAGGATACAGGATCCAATTGACAGACCAGGAACTGATTCAATTCATGTTGATGATATTTTGCGGGAACTAAGTTTACATTTTGAAGATGCACTTTGTACTTCACATGAACGGTGCGACGTGGCATAGTTTGAGTTGGGCAAGCCAAGTAGCAGTAATTGAGAGCCAGAGCTGTGAGAAGACAACCAGCATTGCGATTTTTATCGTTTTCAAGTCGCTTGAACAATAAGTTGGTTCGAGTTCATTGTAAATGATCAAGGAGTAACGGTGACTTTGACGTTCCATTTTTTCTGATAATCCTGCATCTCGGTGTTCTTGAATCCGATTAGTTTGAGTTTGCAATTTATTGAGGGGGGTGGATAAAGCGTAGAAAACGAGTCAGGTTTGGTCATGCGCCAAGGCTGATTGATGTGGGTTGCAGGTAAGATTCCAACTGACTTTAGCTTGATATTGAGAGAGGAGGGTTTTCAAGGCGTCGTTGATATTTGAGCGGTGTTCTTCCAAGTCGGGTAAGATCTCTTTCACCGTTCTTTCGATCATCACCCCTCCGATCATCCGGAAACATTTTCGTCCTGGATCTGTTTTTTTCAAGGTCTCGACCACCACTCTTAAAAATGGGATCGGTTAGGTTATAATTTCAGATACGGCCGATGTAGATCATATCGTAGGAAATCATGGCAGTCAATTAGGACGTAGACTGACGAGTGTTCTTCCGAGTCTCGTTCCAATTGACCGGCCTTGGAAGCGATCGCTCGAATTTCGTCGCCCAGTGTCCGAACCGTATTCACAATTTCTATATAAACATTGATTGTGAGCCACGAGTTCATCCTCACAAGAAGAAGTGATCCAAGCCTCCAGTCGTAGTATACACACCTTGGTTAGAGGGCCGTTGGGGTTGAGTTGTAGTAGCCATCACAGCGTCGACCGAACCTGTGGAAAGATCTCGAGGTGCCTTGGAATAATTTGTGGGGATTCACAGGGTCGTTCGACATCACTTTGCATTCCATTTCGCATCCCCAGACCCCACCCAACTCACCACCGACCCACGCTCACCACAAGCACCTCAAGGTTGTTTTGACCAGCAAAAGAAGCAGCAGAAGTGAAGACATCTGATCACCTGAAGTCTCACCTCATCAATCGACGCTGGTGTGTAGCACAGTATAGAAAGATATCTGACATATTCAGAATTGGATTATAATCCATATTATCAGGCATTACGTCATCCCTGTTATCGTCTAGTGGTTAGGACACCAGGTTTTGACTGCCTGAATGTGTCCTGGTAACCTGGGTTCGACTCCCAGTAACAGGTTTCATTTTTTTCTCCACTGGACGGTGGACCTATCAATAATCACGCATGACATGGCTCCTCAAGTCAGGCTGTCAATGGGCCGGGCTTGGGCCCAAAAACCTTGCCCAAACCCGCCCCACCTTAGAACGTGGGGCGGGGCGGGTCGGGCCACAATTCCAAAAAGTATGCCCAAACCCGCCCCGGCTTTTAGACAGTCGGGCTTGGGGCGGGTCTCGGGTCTGCCCATCATTTTTTTTTGCCTGAGTATCATTCTCAGACCTTCGGTCACTCAAGCGACTGAGCTGGTATGTTGTGTTTGCATTGCATGATACATATATAGAGCTAGTGATATCGTGTATTTCATATGTAATCAAGCCTTAAATCATGGTTATGGGATTCTGGTCCCTCAAACCTAATAATATGTACTGTGAGTACATATTATTAGGTTAATTCTGATGATATTCAGAATTAATCGGGCTTTTCATGGGCCGGTGGGCCGGCCCACATCCAGGAAAGCCTGCCCAAACCCGGCCCATGAATTTGGTGGGTCTCCACGGGGCGGGTCACACTTGAGTATTATTCCACCCTTTCCTGTCCAAACCCGCCCCGAGACCCGTCGGGGCGTGGGTAGCCCATGGGCGCCCGAGCCCATTGACAGCCTGATCCTCAAGCACTCTCAATCTGGAGGGCTTCCCTTTACACCCCCTAGATCATAATTTTTGGCCAAAAAAAAAAACATTTCTTACAAGCCTTGTAATAGTAAGTCTCATGTGGGATGCTTGAGATATGATTATGATGTTGATTTAGGACTTGGGAGGGCTTAAAAAGTACTCTAAATGGTGGTGGGAAGTCCTTCAATTTAACACTCTAATTGAAACCAGGACTAGCTCACATGAGGGCCTTCACTGCAAGGCTTCTGAAGAAGGATTTTCTTGACAAAAATTAAGACCTTTGGTGTAATTCAAATTCTGAAAGGGTTGTTGTAAATGCCACTGGGAAGACATCCACTACTTGTCTTTTCTTATCTAGTAGTATGTACGGTGCCTTGACAGAAAAACATTCAAACCCCATGCAAAGGTTCAGATTTGGTGGGTGTTGCCCCCTGTGATAATTGGGTATAGGATTACCTTGCACCAACTGATTGTCAATGGTCCTCTGTTGACCATTGAATCTCTCTGCAACCTTGCCTTAACATCCAATTTGATGAAGGCCCAATTCAACCTCAGATCCATCATACTAGCCAAGTACAAATCAGTCACAACAATAAGTGCATTCCACATCATCTTGTGATTCAAAGCAGTTGTAAATGAGCCCACAAGGAAAAAACGCTGAATGTTTTGTATTCATTTATATCTGTTATTTTTCCATCCTTCATCCTAGCTGCCTAAACACCCCCTCTTATTTTTCCCAAAATATGCAGATTTTGTTTTTGATGTGTCTTTTTTTTCCTTTGGAAATGGAACCAAATGTGGCTGTTGTGAACACTTTCCCGATCCCCCATTGATCCATCCAACCAAAAAATATCTCTCAAAAAGAATGATTCTGACCTCCAAAAGAGGGGGTTTTCTGTCAACCCACTGTACTACAATTCTGGTTTTCATGTATTCAAACAATGCCATCTTGGCCTTTCTCATTAATTTGAAGGAATTGCTTGAGTTGATGGATGGTCCTTCACCAAAAACGCTGTCACTGTAACCCAGCATTTTTCTTAGCACTCCATGCATCTCAACAACTATAGTACAACCAAACTGATACACACATGAAGTGTCCTATCCTGCAGGAGATGACTGCCCTTGACATTTTCTATCATACACATCAAGAAATCTATGATGGAGGTGATTGAGGCCCTTGATGTATGTACCCTCTTTGAGTAAGCTGTTTAGACAAGGAAGCACACATGAGGGGTTGTCCTGAGGGTCTCTTCACAGAATGTATCGATGGATATTGCTTGTCTAATCAGAATCTTTGTCCTTTGAGACTTAACTTCCTTGACCTTATTTTTTTGCTGCAAAAGATACATAAATAAGCAAGCCATTATTATATAATACAAATTCTTCTGGTGTCAGCAGCCTTGAAATACATAACACCAGAAAGTTAATTATCATATGGAGCAGTTAAACTTGCACCTTATTGGATAAAAGAAGATCCAATTCCGATGGCCAATGGAAAATGAAGGAGTCACATGAGTTCTATGTGTAGTGACTTGATTCTCATTGAGGAGGGCTGGTAAGATCTAGTGTAAATGAATCAGGCAAAAGACATAGATTGGAATCCATCAAGATCTTGGCTTTTAACTTGCATGTAGCTCATACTCAGATGTATGGACTACATGCTTTTTGTTAATATTTGATACACATTGGCAACTGTTTCTATTTTGTTTTTCTCTTGATTTTTATTCATATGTATTGACTGAAGTAACTTCAAAGTTTCTCCCAATCCACAGAAAGAGGTGAAACACACGGGGGGGAGGGTAGTGGTACGATGAGAAAATTATGATCACCACTCAAAAATTCAAACTAGAATCACAAAGGAAAGGGTCCAATGAGGTTGTTTCTTGATACCGATAAGATAGTGGGGAATCTTAGAAGAGATGTATATATATTTAACAAATGAAAGAATCTTGTTTCATTCTTTTAATTGAATTTTCATTCACCTCAAACAATACTTCCACTTTTCTTAGCACCCCTTTTGTTTTTGTTTTTCTTTGTATTGTGGGATGGTGATGGTGATGGCAAGCCAGATCTTTTATCCAGAGTTGGGAGTCCTATTGTTGACTGAATTAGGGGTTTGAGGTGCTGTCCGTCCAGGTGGATGGGCAGCTGAGGTTGAGATAATTGAGTCGGCGTATTGTGTGATCTGATAGGATTGACAAGAAAAAAAAGGAGGATCAATGACGTGATCAAGGTGGGAAGACATGCATGCCATATACGAATTCAGACTGACGAGACTCCGAGCGAAGTTGGTGCCTTTCTTGACCATGGCAGGACAGCTTGGATGATCAAGATAATGGTCAATGTGCCGATTGACGGCGGAAACTGCTGATCTCGTCTGGGGTGATAGATAATATCTCAATCGGAGGAAGTGAGCGAAAAACAGTGGGTGTAGGAAGCTGGAAAAGAAACCATATCAGTCCCGCGAAGTGATTCACCAGCAACACGGGTTGAAAAAAGGACGTGATCAGACCAACGAACCTGTTTTGAAATGTGAGCGCTCCTAGCGTCACTCTCCCCTGGATCACCAACACCTCAATGAATGCTACACAGTACATCTATAAACAAAGTGTCCAGAGAATAATTTAATGACATCAAGCTTCGAGTAGGAGTTCAGAGACCATCTATAAAAAAATGTTCCTCAAAAAAAACTGACAGCTGATTCATAATTCTGTTTGACCCAGCTTTGGATACCTCGACTGAGGACGACTCCTATTTGTTGCGATTGTTCGGCACCAGCGGCGTCTTTCTTGGACGGCACCTTGGGCAAGAATGAAGTCCGAATGAAGGAGAGGCCTATCAGGTCAAGCCGACACATGACCAGGAGTAACAAAGTCGACAAGACATGGTCAATTCTGGTCTACCCTGGATAAGCTAGAAATCCGGATATTCTTGAATAATTGAAGATCAAATAAAAAATAGGGTTTACTCAACTGTGAAAGGTACTGAAGATAGCAAAGGGTAAAAGTGTCACTGATAAACCGCACCACAAGCGAGAGATGTAAAAATTCCAAAGAGAGATAGAAATCAGATCTTTTGCAAAAAAAAGGAGAAGAACTGCATCTAAGTTTGAAAGGAAGCAGCTGTGATGAGAACTCAACCAAAGATTGGTTTTGAGAAGAACCAATAAAGCGCCACGACCAAATATTGTACATTTTCGTCCATTGCTGCTCGTTGGAGATAAGCTTTTGAGAGTGATGGTGTACCCAGAGACTTGTAGACGACAATAGACCATGAGAGTATTGCGCCTGATAATCACAAAAAATTAAAACAAGTAAATATTGATGAAGATAGGCAACGACTCGTTGGAGCACATGAAATAATAAGCAAACAGGATTGAAGGATGAGAAGACAGACTGACCACCGTAGGCTAGAGAATATGCTTTAGGGCGTGACTGGAGGAAGAGGATACCGAGGGTGTTCCAGATAGTCGAGAGTAGGACGACGATATGACCGATTGACCAGGCAAGATGAGTGTACGACATCGGTCTGTAGGCCGAACCGGAGGTAGAAGAAGTGCTAGCCCCAGTTGCTGAAGGCTATTAAAATATCGACATATCACGAAGCGCCAATCAGTTGAAAGCTATCCGATGACAGGAAAAAAGAAGAGATGGAGGAGGTGATCGAAAAGCATACCATTTCGTTCGTAAGTTGGATGTGCGATTGTCGGTGGTAGTTTTCAGAGTCGGCTTGATTGGTTGGAGTCTTGTCGAAATGATGGAGCTTGAGCTGTTTGGAGAATCTCCGGCAGGGGTTGGGTGGAAGCCTGGGTGCTGACGTAAGGCGGGGGGTGCGCCGCCCAACTGTCACTCGATCTTCTTGCAGCAAAAATTCCAAGAAAACTGCCAACTTACAGATCAATCATCAACCAAACTCACCTCAATTGTAGAGCAGTGATGAGGGAGCAACAAGGGAAAAAAATAATCAACTGAGCTTGGAATATCTGGATGCCTGTGTAACCCCTACCAAAGCACACCGCCATAAAATCACTCATGAGGTATTGACTGGTGACGTTGATTAATTGGTCAGGAAAGTACACACTGTTATGTAGACAAAACCATAATTGCTTCAAAAATTGCTCAGATAGGAATGGTTAATCAATTTCACTAGAAGTAATATCATGTTTGTCTATGTGGGGTGCAATAGGAGAAGGCTTGATTATTTTTCAGGATTTCTCATTGCTTTCAGAGTCTGACTCCTTCTTTCAATTGACAGAAATATAATTGAATCCAAAATCTTAATGTTATGGAAGGAAGAAAGTCCAGCTGGAGCTAGTACATTTATCTTTTTTTTAGCAAAAAATGGGCTCATCTGGCTCAAACACAAGATCTTGTCTAGCAGCTCTATCTATACAGAATGAGGGTACCACCTTGCAGATAGTTTTTCCTGAGTGCAGCAGATACCAAGGTGCGTGTGATTTTTTCCAGCATGGTGTTGTGTTTGGAAGATGGTGCCAATATGTCAGAAACAGATCAGAAGCACAAAACCAAAACTTTGGACAAGTGAAGAGGCAGGGGAAGTGCTGAGTCTAGTATATAAGCATATGGTATGTATATGCTTGTACCGAAGTCCCCAGTGGTGCGTGTGTGGGCTGACCCGACTTCCTTCGGCGAACAGCCAGTCCACCCGGAAGAACAAACCAAGCAAAACAGATCGAAATGGCTACGCACTCCTCCACCGATTCCCAAGCACCATCCTATCCATCTCGAAAACAGGCAAGTGGACATCCGCCGATCTCAGAAAAGCTGTACTCGAGGCTGAACCAGAGATGATTTTTGTTCGGATGACGTACTTCTCTGTTGAGAATATCTACAGCTGCCGATCTATGACGAACCTTCGCAGGAGATCATACTCGTCAAGACTGAACTTCCTCTCCAAGCTCAAGTTCGTTGGGCCCGACAGAATATTCAATCCTTCAAGAAGGACCTCGAGAGCCGATTTAACTTCGTCTTGGATCATGGATTGAATATCGAGAAAAAGGTCGCGGGCACTTTGGGTAGTCTGATCGATCAAAAGGAGTCGAGCTCGTCTTCAGTACTCTGGTCTGTCGATTGATTTCTTTCTATTAATTTAAAAAAAAGAAACTGATCCATGCTTCATGCAGTGTCGGAATCGGGACAATGACGGGATCGATCCTGGCTCGAAACCGATCGTTCCCCCTGAGGTTCCTTTCTCCGCTCGCATTCTTTATCCTCTCATCCAACCAATTCCTACCCACAACAACCCAGAACGTCAAGTCATACCTCTTCAAGCTCCAAGATCACCATTTCCCGCAATCGGCTGCAAGGCGTGATGAGGTGATCAAGCGAGGAGCGGAGAGTGTGGAATGGCTAAATGGGTTGAGACAGCGTATGTTTCTGAAGACGACTGAGGTCGTCAAGGATGGCAGTCAGGTCTTCGAAAAATACAGTGGCTTGAAGATCTCCCATGACTCGTCCCCTGCGAAAAATAAAACCGAATAAATTCAATTCATTCTTCCTTCAACAAACAAACAAACAAACAAACAAAAAACCATCGGTCCTCTTTGAATCTTCTGTTGTAAAGAAATAAGATTCCTTGTGGTTCCGCATTCAAGCCTGACTAGCAATCCACTCATCTCCATCAAAATTTGTCTCCCCACTTTTATTCCAGCTCGCCTCAGGCAGCGGAAGATTCGCTCGAGGAAAGTCTTGACAGACTTGCTCCAGCGAAAACAAGTACCCTTCAAACTTCGTCTTGACCCCCATCAGAGCTCCTATAATCCTTTGCCCTCATAGTAGGCTCAGAATTCTTATAAGATTTCAACTAAAGCTTGAAAGCTTGAAAGTTGAGAAAACTTTTTCACACAGCTTCTGTGATGTTCTAGAGGATGGCGGGTATGTTCGGAACTGGCTTTTCAGGACAGATATCCGATATTATGAACTGTGGTCGTGTCCGCTTGCCAGGATCACAATTGTCCAATTATCCACAATTGGCGATACAGTCCTGCGGATCTTGTCTGCGGATATTGGGAAAGCTTGGAGCCATGCTTGCTTCCACTTCCTGCTCGACGGGGACTATATTCAGACTTCAATTCCATTATCATGGAAAGCCCCTGGAGTCGGACGAATGATATCATCAAGTTCCGCTTGGTGACGGATGAATGATTAATGAAAGTACACACAGTTCATGGGAGTTAGGGAAGCGGATATGCGACTGACATAGTATCAGCCTCAGTGGTTCTTTAACGGATCAGGGAAAAGATAGGGCTCTGCAAGTGGCCAAACAGGACTGCCAACTCAGCTCCTGAGAAAATCCACAGGAGTTGATGTTTAGGTTTATCCTTAACTCATGCTTCAAGGACCATACAAATTCAGCTTGGATAGTCCTGCTGCACACCGTTGTCCAGCATACCCCAGGCCCCTTATGTGTGTTGGCTTCGGTGAAACTGATCCACTTTAATAATGGAAACTTCATAACCAAAGAGTTTTGTGTAATCCCAAAAGATTGAGTAGACACAACTACTTGTTTATAAAAGATGTGGAAAAAAAGCAATAATGTTTCATTGATTTATAAGCTACCAAGCCGGTATTTAACTCATGAGTGCGGACTCCCATCTAAAAAGAGAGAGACAGAGAGTAAGTAGACAAATTAAAAAAAAACCCTTTGAACTTTTGTCTTGCAAGTGAAAGTAAAAGTTCTCTTATCTCCATGAATTAATTGATAGTAAGACCCAGCTTCAATGGCAGCATGGTTGATACTTGAGATGAAATTGAGGGCTCTGAGAAGAGTGTTGTTGTGAGAGTTTTATGGCTCATGTGATAGGTGTTATTTAACTGGTGTCGTGAGGAAACCACGCCTTGGAAAAGGTGATGGGGAGTGGTTGCCCCTCCAATGACTAACACAAAATGGCAACTAATCAATACTACATATACATACACCAAGTCAGACTGAGGATGATCAGGGCTCTTCTCTTTTGATGGAGTTTATAAGCTGGTGGGGTGATTTGGATGTGATTACGTAATTAAGTTTAGCATTTATTTCAACAATTTTTTTTTTTTTAATTCGAAATCAACAGTTGTTGTTGATCGACTGGCCCTTCCCCCTGTCTGCGAGCTGTCATCCAGACTCAGCCAGCCTCTGTCACAAGAATCGTTTAGACCCCCAACTTGTCCCTACAGCCTCCTTCCCCCCCTACAGAGCGACATAGCCACAGCCAGAGAGAAAGAGCAGGAGAGAGAGAGAGAGAACGGTCAAGAGGAACACAACATCACTTTTAACTATACAACTACCATACTCAGAACCATCCAACCAAGCAACCAAGCACCAGGCAGATAGACATCCCAGCCGGATAACTATCGATCAACTCTCTGTTCACGATGTCTGATACTGACCACTACTCTCAAACCGACCAACAGGGTGAGCTAAAGCTTCTCTTCACTCAACTCAGCTCAGCAGGAGTTCTATCTCTAAGCGACAGCCCCATGAGGATGCCTCCCTTGAGCGCTCCTATCAATCCAGAGGCCTCCATATCCTCTTGTCTTTTCTTTTCTTCTTTGGTTATCATCCAACTCAACCACTCTTTCGGCGATTTCACTCACCACCTCGGTTTCCCTTCAATCCAGGTAATCAATCCAACATCAGCCAGGAACACTCCGAACAACCTCTGGCGAATGTTGTACGTAAAAAATTGATGGGATACGTTGGCTGTAGGTTCATCCTTTGATTTTTTTTTCTGGCTCCTGACCTCATGCCACTCCAGTCAACTGATGATCGATCACCACTTCTGTGCCTTGCTTTTTGCCAGTTGCCAACTTGCCCAACCAAGTCCATCGCAAATCAGTACGGAAGGGCTTCCATTTCACCATCATGGTCGTCGGTGAAAGTGGTCTAGGCAAATCTGTACGTCATTCTATCACGCTGAGTCACCACCACCATCCCTTCCAAAACCAAAAAAAAGGCACATGTACATTTAACCCTGATCCCAATTGCTGACTCTCCACCTACCTCTTTCAAGACTCTCATCAATACCCTCTTTAACACAACACTCTACCCTCCCAAAGAATATCCGGGACCTCATGCTGAACGGCCACGGACGATCGCAATCCAAAGTATCTCTGCGGGTATGCTCCTCATCGCCATGATCACTATCCCTCCATCCGCTTAGAGTAGATGGGCTGATGATGGTTTGATCTAGATATCGAGGAAGCTGGTGTTCGTCTGAGACTTAAAGTAGTCGACACTCCTGGCTATGGCGATTTCGTCAACAACGCCGAGTCATGGAGACCTATCCTGGAGAATATCGAGGCTCGATTTGATGGCTACCTCGAACAAGAAAATCGTGTCAACCGTGCCAAGATAGTTGACAACCGAATCCATGCCTGTATCTACTTCATCGAGCCCACTGGTCATTCGTTTGAGTCATGTCCTCTTGTCCGGTCATCCTTTCTACCTCAGCTGATCGTGCCCTGCTTCACTTCACTGTCTCTCTCCTAACTTGATTTCAGACTCAAGCTAGTCGACGTAGAATTCATGAAGTGTCTTCACACCAAAGTCAACCTTATCCCGGTGATCGCCAAAGCAGACACGATGACGGACGATGAAATCGCCGCTTTTAAGCAACGGGTCAGTCGATCGATAACCTTCTTCGACCTTCTGAATAAACGGGGTCCTTGAAATCTAATTATTCCCTCGTGTCCTTCCTCTGCAGATCTTGGCGGATATCGCATTCCATAATATTAGAATCTATGAAGCCCGCCGGTACGAGAAAGAGGACGAAGAAACCATTGCTGAAAACGAGGAGATCATGGTCAGCTGATCCACCCATTTCTTGTCTGATCCTCGATCGCACGTTGTGATCTACTTTCGCTTGGATGCTGACTTGTTCAGCATGGGTATGCTTGCAGCGGAAAATTCCATTTGCCATCGTCGGCTCGGACTCGGAAGTCCAAACAGCTGATGGACGACAATGCCGCGGACGTCAATATCCATGGGGAATCATCGAAGTGGATAACGAGGAGCACTGTGACTTTGTCAAACTAAGACAAATGCTAATCAGAACACACATGGAAGAATTGAAGGACCACACAGCCAACGTGTTGTATGAAAATTACCGAACGGAGAAATTGCTTTCGATAGGGGTCACTCAAGACCACTCTGTCTTCCAGGAAGTCAAGTCAGTGATCATTTTCTATTATTCCATGAAAAAAAAACAAGTCAAAATGAGATCAGTGTGGTTATTGACATAGATTGTTTCTTTGGTGATCGGTTGTGTGAATCGATTTACAGTCCTGCTGCGAAGATGGCCGAAGAGAGGGCCCTTCATGAAGCGAAGCTGGCAAAGATGGAGGCAGAGATGAAGATGGTGTTCCAACAGAAAGTGGCTGAAAAGGAGGCCAAGTTGAAGCAATCGGAAGAAGAGCTATACCATCGTCACCGAGACATGAAAGAAGCGCTTGAAAAACAAAAGTAAGTGGATATGTTTTTTTTACATAAGAGAATTAAATCGAGGTGCCTTTCGGGCACAGAGAGAGACACGAAGCTGATGGTTCTTTGTTTTCGGGTTCAGAGCGGACTTGGAAGATAAGAAACGTCGTCTGGAAAGTGGAAGGCCCTTGACACCAGAGAAAACGAAGAAGAAAGGCTTCCTCAGCAATCGATAAAGAGCGACCCCAATTGAGTCAAGCCCATGATGATTATATTCATCTCCTATTGTTGGGACACTTTCCTTTCTCTTTCCCCTTCTTTTTATCGCTAGTGACAACCCCAATCTCCTCTGCCTCTTTCTCCCTCTCTCACTCACACATCCATAAACCTCTAGTCATCTCCCTTTTGAAACTCATGATTTGATTTTTTTATGATGATTATTTTTTTTTTGGTAATATGGCCACTTTGCTTTTGGTTTTCTTCCTATCAAACTATTTTTTCTTTGTTTTGTTATACTCATGAGAAGAAAATGATTTGATCCTCTTTTGATTATCCTCTCCCTCTCTCAGTATACATATTCTTCTTCTCATAAGGAGGTTTAGTTTAGTTTTCAGTTGTTTTAATCATCTCTCTTAATAATGAGAAGAATGTTTTGTCCTTTCCTCACTGTTTTGCATCATGAAAAGAAAAAAAGAAAGAACACCCCCCTCCTCTCCCCTCCACTCTTTTGTTTCTTCTTCTTTATTCTCTGCTCTCTCTCTCTCTAGTAGTTTCTTTATTTTACTTCACAACTTGTTTCATTCTTTCATTATTTATTTATTTATTTAGATATACAAATTTCTGGTCAACTACTCTTTTTCATCTCTTTCATTCTACACTGCACCTCTTCTGCTGGGTGTGAGACTCAGAGAGAGAGAGAGAATCAAAAGTGGGTTGAAGTGGCTGGTCTTATGCTTGAATGTATGTAAGGTTGGACAACAAGAATTGGGTTTTTTTATCAGAAGTAATTGGTTGATTTAGCACAGAACTCTGTCTGTTAGTGTGGTTGTGTGTGTATGTGTCTTGGTTCAACTTCAGTTGGGATACATACTTGATCAAGTGATGCTCAATATTGAACAGGAATATATACAGTCCAGCCTGTGTTGATGTTCAGAAAGGTGGGCATGTTTTCTTGGAGCATCTGTATTGGTGGCTATGTCCACTTGAGCAAGGGATAAGGGATGGTCCCAGGGTTCAGGACAGGGCTAGAGGGACATCCTGAGGAATAGGCCCTGGGAAGTCCTGGTCTCTGTCCCAAAGCCCCGGGACTTGTTGTGATTCTATTTTCTGAGGGAATGATGGCACTAATGGCCCAGCAATACCTTCCTATCCCAACCACAATTGGTTTTTGCTCTTAGGCCTTCAATGGCCCATTGCATTTTTTTTGTTTCTCTTTTCCAATGAATACCACATTTGAATATGAACAAAAAAACAAGTTATACATTCCATAACAAGGCAAGATCAGGAAAAAAAAATCCGGTCTAGAATGACCCCTGGGGCTTTGGGGTTGTGTGAAGCCCATCCCGATTCCTGAACTTTGGGGCTCAGGACTGGGGTAGCCCTGGAATCCCAAGGTTTGGGACCATCCCTCAGCTAAAAGGACCTTAGCCACCAATTTCGACTGAACTGGGTTAAGCAAAATCCAGGCAAACCTGGTGTGTGGTTTCAGCTAACCTCTTCTAAATATAGCAATAGTTTGCTTTTTGGCTAGCTAAAAGCTAACTCACGCGTCTGTCTCAATCTGGCACCCTCCAGTAAACATAGCACACCTCAAGTTCAAGCCACATCATGCAAGCCACACCAATGCAGCTGGCAGGTGGTAGCTATTGGCCACAAGTCAAAACTCATGGGGTGTTGTTAACTCAACTAATACAGATTACAGATGCTCTTGTGGGTCCAGATCAATAGGAAGCACCATTTCACTAATTCAGGTGGAATATTCTCATAATTGACTGGTAATACAAATTGCCAGCCAATGGAGACCTTGTGCTCCAGTGCACCAAGCATCACTGAGTCAATACTGCCCACAGGCAACAGTTTAACACATGCAGTCAAACTCTTGACTGTGAAAGGTGAGTTATAGTATACATAGGAGATTTTGGGGCAAAAACTGGAGATGATATTTCAGATACATAATATGAAAAAACGGAAATAAATGGGTCTGCCTTTTTTCATTCAATGTGCACTCCAAAAAAAAAAGGTGGAGTGCCCCCCCCCCTGATGCACACCAGGATACTTGGAGTCATAGCCCATCCACTCTAACCTCTCCTCCATGTGGCATGTTGCAGAAGTGCTTTGTGGAGTGCACTACACACACTCCTTCTGCATGAAGATAGTCCCTGATTTCATCTTTAACATGATTCACATCTAGCCCTGCAGATATCCCTTTCTTGATTTCTGAACACAGCCTTATCTCAAACAAACCAACAAACCAAAATCACACTAAGAAACTCATATTCCAAACAAAAAAACCACAAGCTCAAAAGTATTAAAAAACATTTCTATCTGTCTTGGCTTTCAAAAATCACAACAAAAATCTCTGTTGATTGCAATGAATCAAAACAAAAAATAATCTTGGGTACTATCAATCTGAAGGTCCAAAAATCCTAATAATTTCACGTGAGCAGGATTTGAACCCCAAAAAATAACTGAGCAGTAAAAATACTGGAGTTCATGGGTATGCACCCCAAGTATTACAGCAGTTTGAAGCTGTGCACTCCAAATCCTATGGAGTGTACAACCATTTACTCCAGCATCATCCATTTTTGCTTGTTTGGCTGTGCGTTTTGTGCAATTATAGTTTGAACTTATTTTCAGCTCAAACAAGTGGTTTGCTCAACTCACGCACACCAGAAGAGGTCAACTTGAGTTGAAAGTTCATGATTTTCACAAATAGCTATAAACAAAATGAAAACATTACAAATAAAATTGAAAGCAAAACAAAACAAACAAGTGAAACTTGATAAGTTTATACAAGCAGGCCCTACCAGCCCTCAAAGGAAATCTGATAGATGTGGATGAGAAAATACACAAAAAACTGGCTTTATACCCAACTCCAAAATCTTGCCATCCAAGAATTGCAACTTGAGGCATAGGCCTCCACTGATTTGGACAGCTCTGCTGCTTGCTATCACTACTGCCTGTGCAAGCCTATTTCAGCTTGTGTTTTACACCATCCAAGGCCGCCAGGCCCTCAGCAGCAATTTGGGTTCAACTGCTTCAACATGAACTGCCTTAATATCACAACACTGCACAATGTCAAATCAATCGGCACCTGAAAAAGAAGGGTTGGTGTGATCTGTGCTGTAAGTCTCACTGACTAAACTCAACCAATTCTTCCTTGTTTCCTCATCTCATTACCAATGACTCATCCCCTCTCATATTTCCCTCCATCCTGTAGGGCATATTTACCCCCCAGATGAACTTCCACTTGCCCGTTTGTTCTGCCCATGTTCCAATGTTAACATTTAGGATAAGTCATTGCTCTCCTGCGCACATTCTACAAATATATATTTTTCTCCCCTGGGCAACCAGCCCTCCCTCCACACCCACAAAAGCTTGCATCCAGATCAAGAGTCCACACGGCTTAACTGGGTTATCAATGCCACAGTCATGACAGGATAGTAATATATTCTACTGCATTCAGCTTGACAGCACTTCTTTGTTTTGTGTGCCACCAGTGGAAATTGTTGCTCTCTACTCAACTTATACTACTCAAGCCACCAACGTCACAATCAATCTAGGATTGCTTAGATGAAGAAAAATCACGCATCTAACGCGCTACTGTACAAATTGTCTTTCAAAGCAAACAGGCCGAAAGTCAACTGGAAAAACGTGGAAAGTCTCATGCTACGTGTAATGTGAGTGGTAGATAAATTTAGGAAGGAGCAACCGGTCAAGAGAGTTCAATTTAATGCCCCTCGACAGACAAGGGAGTGTTCAAGTACCAAGGCCATCAACATCACCATGTCGGGCTGTTGAATAAGAGGGCAATCAGGACTCTGCAGTCTTTCGAAAAGACTGGATATTTTCAAGTGGGTGACCCACCACTGAAGCCTGATCAACAATTGAAAGGGTAAAAGCCTCGCGGCCTTTGGGATCTTTCCACCAGGTATCGTACCGCATCTGGGCTGATCCGACCAACCAAAAGTCAGATAGTGTCTATTTTTCTCATCTGTCCGATAGGTTGTGCAATGAAAGGAGAGACATGTCACTCACTTCTCAATAGCCCTTCTGGTACTTCAGGTTGATCCAGGGACACCCTATAAATCCGACCACCCATGTTGGAAGAGTTTTTGTTGAACCTGTAGTATCTTCGGGTACCTGATTTGTCGGGGTAGTTGAAGTGCCATAAATCGCTTCGGAACTGTCTGAGTTGAAGCCTATAATCCCGTTCTGCCCATGCATCGTTGAGATTTTTGTACTGTGGGAAGCGTTTGTCTTGGTGGCATTGCAAGCATCGTTGTTCTGCAAGGGAGGACCGCAGGAGAAGCATGACGGTTATCTTAATGATTGATGCTTTTTTCAAAGGAAATTAGTCAATACTACTCACCGAAGTAAGTGCAAACAACGTTGTGGAAGATCCGTCCGCAAGTCTAGACGTCGAGATCCCTTTGCGAGGCTTATCGTAATCCTTGAACCAACGGAATGCGTCCTCCCCTTTGGAATTATAGGCCGACTGATAGCCATTTGACCAGTTGAGTCCCATGCTCATGATGTAATCGTTGCGAGGGGGGTAAACTGCGCGTGTACTCATGGCGAATGAGGCCAATAAGGCGGTGAGGGTAATGGCGCTGGGGAGCTGCATCGTTAGCTGGTAAGAGGGGCGCAAATGAGATGGGTGAGATGCGTTGAGAGGTCAAGATGGATATTGAAACAGGGCTGGTAAAGTGTGAAAGTGAAGATACGATGAAGCGGAAAAGTGTCTATGAAACTATGTATGAACAAGAGAAACAACCAAAGTGAGAGAATGAGGACTGGCCTGACTGAGCAATATGCAATGAGGGAAAGCTGAAGAAAATTCATAGCGAGACGCTGGCTGAGATTAGACAGAAGTCTGCACCCGAAGAGAAAGACGCAAGCCGAGAGCCGGCCATGAGCTGTGAGCAAAACGCGTAACAACGGGTCACAAGCGGCGAGGGGCATAAGCTAAAGAAAACGCAACAAGGCCGGAAGGGCTCAGGGCCAGGAGTCCGTCGTAGCGGCTAGAACGCCCTCCCAGCAACTTCACGGCCTCCATCCGAACTGATCAGTCTCACCCGCGAGGAGGGCCCCAAAGGGATAAGCCTTTAAGCGGTGAAAGTAGGCATCCCGCGAAAGCATGTTGGGCCCGATCCGGCAGGTTTTTTTTTTCTATATCACTTGTTGTAGCCCCTCCACAAGAATCAAAGGGAAAAATAAAGACTGCAAGAGCTTTTAGGATAACCGGGAATCACACAATCCCACAGCATGTGGCTTGAAGTGTTAGCCAGGGCTCTCACTCGGAGTCGGAGGCTTGTGTTAGGCTCGCCTCGGAGACGTTCCGCGGATGGCCGTCTCAGAGATCCCGAGCCAGCCACGGCTGCCGCCAGTCTTCTCATCTGGCCGGCAGCCCCCGCCTCCTCCCCATCCAGGGGCTGGGGTGGCCATGATCCCATGACCAATTGAAAAAAACTACGAAATGATATGCACAGTGACTTGATCTGATCCCATATGATTTTGTCAAGATACAAATCTGAAATCCCGTTTTTGATTGAATGAATGATCAGGCAAGGAGGGTCAATAACTTCACAATACATAGAATATTGATATTTGAGTTTTTTTTTTCAAGAATTTCTTATCTCAGTAGTAGATATTTTGCACTAGCAAACCAGCTACATATACTTTCATATATAGATATTCATTAGTCAATTCCCAACACATCACCACACACTACGTGCCCAAAGTATAAAAAAAAAAAATAGAATCGTTAAATAAGAGAAACGTGCCCAGATTACGTGTTTTGATGGATTAGAGAGTAGTTTTCCGATTTTTTTTTTTCATGAAGATATAGAAAGAAAAAAAGTTTTTTTTTGCGTTTTGATTTGATTTGAATTAGGTGAGAAGGAAGGGGGAGATAAATATATAGGGAAAAAAAAAATTGGGGAATAGAGAAAGTCGGGAAGATTAATGGCCGGGTTTGCTAGCCAGAAAGACGCCGAGGATGACGACGCCGAGGAAGCCGATAGCGGCGGGGAGGATGAATTCTTTGGGGACCCCAGCGACGAGGGTAGGGTCGACGGGGGTCTGATTGTGTGCGTTCTTTTTGCTAGATCTGGTGGTTGAGAGACGATCACGAGAGCCGGCCTGAGAATGACGTTCCTCGAGCTCCTCGTTCTCGATCTCTTCAGCTTCAGTGACTGCTTTAAGACGCGTCGAGTAGACTTCGGCGGCCTTCTTCTTGGAGAGCTCCGAGTCTCCCCAGCTCTTACCTCCTCTAAGATGAAGGACCACTCGATCCTTTCGTTGCTTCTTGGCCTGGTTCACCGCATCCGTCACGTCCCTATCTGAGGTGATCAAGACCAGATCATTCTCGTCATCGAGGTAGGCCAATTGAAAGTCCTGTGCATCCGGTTTGATAGTTGTAGCGTTGCTGGGGTGGTCGGCGATGAACGGGTCCGACTCGATCTTGCCGACGACGATCTCCCGGACGAAGTCGTAACTATCGTAACGAGCCTGGAAACGATGAGCAGAGCCGGATGGGGCGATGAACTTGAAGAGGTAAGTGCCGTCGTCGTAGTCGAGTGGGACCATGCCGGTGAACGGCTGGCTGCTGGTCACGCTCTGGAGGGTACTGCGGCCGGCGAGGGCAGATTCGTAGTCCTCCTGGACGACGGAAGCTGAGTCATTGGGTGCGAGTTCTGAGCCGGGCGTCTCGAGGCCGGGATGCTGGCCATCGTGTCCAGTCTTATGTCGCGGCGTGTGCGGACCCGTCTCGCTGTGTGCGAGCTGGGAACCTGAGACGATCGACGTGTTATCTTCATCCACCGAACCCGCTTGGCCAAAAGACGCGAAGAATCGGTTCCAGACCGGCCCTCCTGAGTCGTCGTTAGTTACCTCGGAACTGATCGAGTTCACTTGTTCTAATGTCGCGTACGTCAACTTGAGCACATCTACACATCCTTGAAGTTGTCCTGCCTCGTCGACAACGGGTAGATTGAGATAGTGACCATCTGTGTATAGGAAACGATGTTGATCTCTTTCAGACCGTCATACTCTTCAAAGAGAGAGAGAGAATAAATCAAGGGGAGGGAGTTGCATACCATGCATTTTACGCAGAGCTTCCTGGATGCTCAGGCTTGGAAGCGCGGTATCGGGGTGAGGAGTCATGACGCGAACGACGCTACAGGTTCTAGCATCGAGCCCGGCGGCGATGACTCGGAGGACGATATCCTTACTGGTGAAGATCCCGGCAATCCGTCTTCCGTCGCTTTCCATCACGCAGACGGCGGTGGTATGATGTTCGCGCATGAGGACGGCGGCCTCCTTGACGCTGGTCTTCACTCCGACCGTTGCCGCGCTCGTCCTGGCATCTAGGATCGAGCCTAGATCAGGGAAGGACATCTTGTTCCTCAGCGCCTCAACATATGCCATCAGTGGATTCACCGCCCCAGGTGTCGTGCCACGTCCCCCGCTCCCAAACTCGGACTGGACACCCTCGATCGCATTGTATAGCTTTTGTGAGGAGCCATAGGCGCGCTCGAGTTTCTCGAGTGACTCGTGAAACACTTTTGTGATATCCAACAGTCCGATCACGTCCCCTTCATCATTACAGACCGGCTACATGACAGTGAGCCCGTGAAAAGTTAGTTCTTCTGGTCAATCCTAATGAGGTAGGGGCAGTTGATTTATATGTACCAAGTGCCTGAATCCTCTGGTGACCATTGTTGTGAGTGCTTCAGTGGCCGAAGTGGTATCCCTGGTGACCATTGGGTTACGGGTCATGATAGCCGAGACAGGAGTAGTACGAGGATCCATTCCATCTCCGATCACCTGTGATCGAGACCGCCCAAAAAAAAAATCACAAGTTGAGTTTTTTTATAATTATAGTTTTTTTTATCGGATTGAGTGGAAGGGCAAAGCAGAGGAGAGAGTAACCCTGAAAGCCAAATCTTTCGCCGTGAAGATCCCACACAGATGTTCATCCTCGTCGACCACTAGGACGCAATCGGTTCGTTTAGCTGCACAGAGCTGTGAAGCATCTGCGACTGTGATCGATGCAAGGATAAAAGAGTGTTTTTTTTTCCTTTGGAGTTAGAATATATGTCATGTGATGCCAGATGTTTTTTTTTTTTGGTTTCCTAACCTGTGATATTATCGGGTACTGTTAGGGCTGGTAGGGGTCTTAATGCAGACACAGTACCGGCCTGTCGTTTCGGTCTTGGTCCTCCGGAGCTACCGGCTGGTTGATTATTGGTGCGTTTTTGACCAGGTCGTTTACGTTGTAGTTCGTTCTCGATTTTCTTCCTGATAGCCTGTTTGTTGATGTATGGAGTGGATGAGTGTGCTGGTAGTGGTGGATGAGAGTGTAGTTAGTTAGTTGAGACTCACTTCATCCTTCCTACCCTGTCGTTGTCTAGTCTCGCTCAGTGAGCTCTGGAAACTCGTGTTCCGATGTGAGGATGGACTGGTGCTGCTGGTGAGTGCTGGGTCGTCAGAGTAGATGCTATTTGGCCGAGGTAGTCCTGACCTGTTTGCGGATCGTTGTGAGCTAGTCATGAGGCTGTTTGGTGAGTGCTGTTGGTGTTGGTGTTGGTGTTGGTGTTGGGTGGGTGTGGTACTGTTGACTTGGATCGGAAGTGGGATCCGACTCATGTGGGGCGTGTTGCGGTAGAGTCCCCACTCCCGAGGGGGACATAAACAAAAACAATAACAGTAACAATTTTATGTAAATATTTGTGCATACTACATATTTCCAGTAGACACAACTCAAACAAAACTCACAGAAGGATACACTCTTCAAGCCTTTCAACTGGGAGTCCAATTATCTTTGGGTTGCTGACTTGTGCAAGAAGGGGCAGAGAGGGAATTGCTTGGATTGGGTATTTCCGGTGCTGTGATTGTGAAGTGATGCGCAGCCTGGGTGATATGAGCTGTTATGATGATATCTGCCTCGTGACCATGGTGATGATGATGATGATGATGATGATGATGATGTCTGGATTCGGTTGGGTTTGATTAGCTAAGCCAACCACAGCAACCTAAAAGAGGGAAGCAAAAACCACGACCCCCAACAACTCACAAGCATCTCCCAACTTCCACAGCCACCTTCAGCCTTCTCCAACTGCTCAACCTTAACCATGTCCTCATTCTCCAACTCTCCTCGGACGGAGGACTTCATTGCCACCTATACCGTACTGATACACGAAGCTGAATCATTCACCTCCTTCTTCAAGAAACGATGCGAGATCGAAGACGACTATCAATCTCAACTATCTAGACTCGTCTCCCGGCAGCATGATATCGACCGCAAGCTGGCTTCAGAATATCCAGATGGACTCATCATCCCTCAAACCGCACGCGAAGCCTGGCAGGAGATGTGTGCCAACGTCTCCCAGGAATCTCAGATCAGAAAGAATTGGATCAAGCTCATCAGGCAGAATGTGATCGAACCACTAGAACGCTTCAAATCTGGCAAGGAACGCACTCTAAACCGGATCAGGGAAGAACTCAGGAGTAGTATCAACGAACACAAGGAATACCTCTCAACCGTCCATCGACTCAAGAAGAACTACGATCGAAAGTGCGAGGAAGTCGCCCAGTTTCATGCCATGACCGAGGCTGTCGAAGTTCGGGATAAACTAATCGAGGAGCAACGCAACAATGCTCACTCAGACTGGGAACACATCTCATCCAAACCACCCCCACCCACCTCAAGCTCAACTCACTCACTCGATCACTCAACCGGCTCGGTCTCAATCCCCGCTACCCCTCCCTCCGGTCGACCTTCGAGCGATAATGCTACTACTACCACCACCACTCAAGCTCCTAGGCAAGCCGTCATCATCTCAGGGGCCACATCCAGCGCACTCCGTGATACCGTCACCCCGCCACCCGCCAATCCCATCCAAGCCAAGGGCACCGACGTCCTCCATGCACTCCGAGCTAACACCAATAACCTCATCCAACGTCTCAACTCTCGCAAGGACAGCAAGTCCGGCACACCAGCTATGAACCACATCGAGGATATCATCCGTCCAACCGCACTCCGTGGGGTCAAAGTTAAGAGGGAGGCTGAGGAGGCCGACCGAGATTACCGCAAGGGTATCTTCCATCTAGAAACACTCCGACTACGAAAGGAACAAGTCATCCGTGGAGCCAGGCGGGCTACTGAAGAGATGGTCTATGAGATGTCCGGGGAAGCCAAGGAGTCATTCTCTTACTACAACGATGAGACTCGAATTCAAGCCGTTTCATGGATATCGGTAGGTTCACACCCCACTTGCCTATTTTTATCGTGCATTTGTCTGACCACTACCTCTATCCTCAAGATTTGTGATCATGCCCAGCACTTGGTAATGAAAGTCAATCCGGATGCAGACATGAGACAATACACGGATTCGACCCTGCACGAATACGAAGAACCTAAAGTGTTGTATGAGAATGCATTCATTGGACCCTGTAAAAGCTTATTATTTGGGGTAGCTATCAACGATTACTGCGCTAGCAATCCCGGAAAAGGTTCGGTGCCGTTGATAGTCAGGATGTGCATCGAAGAAATCGACCGGAACGGCTTGAAACAGGAGGGCATCTATCGGGTCTCCGGTAAAATGCACAGCGTGATCCAATTGGTTCATGAGATTGAGAAGTGAATAACGAAATATATACTCTCTTTGGGGTAATTTGTCGAGATCTGACAGATCATAATTTTTTTTCCTTATCATAGGGATGAGGATACTTTCAAGTTTGATCCAGAGCGGCACGAGATATACACGATCTCAGGAGTCTTGAAACTATACCTACGTCAATTACCCCAAGCACTGTTTCCATTCTCGCTCGTCGAGCGGGTCAGTCTCTCCCAACAACTTGAAGAATCACGTGAAGAAGCCTTCAGGTTGTTGTCCAAACGAATCCGCAGGCTGCCCCCGGCCCATCAAGCCACCCTGAAACTACTCTGCGAACATCTCCACCGGGTCGCTAGTTTCTCGTCTGTGAATAAGATGACCCCAAGTAATCTAGGCTTGGTCTTCTCCCCCGTCGTCTTTCTCGACGACCCTGCTGGCCAACAGCTGCCAACGCAAAGCTGGAAGGTAAGCAAAACTCCTCCAACAGAATTCAATACAAGCGAGAGATATTGAGTCTTGGGCTTTGTGGTTCTTAGGATGATATCATGGAAATCTTGATCGAGCACCACGACGAACTCTTTGATGGACTGCCGGTAGCCGAGTCGTCCAGCCTCGAACGAAGCCGATCCCAACAGAGCGTGAGCCGAAACCGGACAATCTCACCCTCGGCACGCAAGTCACTCGAGGCGGTTCGCTACGAAAGCTACTCGATCTCGGGCTCGCCTCAGATCTCTCCCAGTCCGTCCCAGTCCCGTTCCCAAGACGCGATCGAAATCATTTCCTTAGCCGACCAGGTGTCTTCTGATACATCCGCCACTCGTATGTCATCCCAGTTTTTTTTATGTTGAATACATTGTTTCCGGATGCTTATTTGTCTTGTTCTCGTCGTTTCTCAGAATCTCAGCCCCCCGGAGGCTCTCCTAACCCATGCCCCCTCCCCCCTCCTGCCCTTGACAGCTCTCCAGCTATCGAGCCTACAACCGCGATTACCAATCCTCCAAAGCGAACATTCTCGATCAGGAGAAAAAACCATCGTCCTTCTCTTGACACTAACAACTAATGCTTTCTTTGCTACTGATATCACTTTTACTGGTGCTCTAACCCACCTGATCCCCCGTCAATCCTTGATTTTACAAAAAAACAGAAATAGAACACATCAACTATCAAGTGATTCTTTGTCGTGTATCAAATATATGGTCTTTTTGACTCTCTCTTACAATCAAAAAACAAAACACGCATCCACACAGAAAAAAACTAAAATAAACTCTATCTGAATTCATTTCCTCCGTTCTCCCTCCTTTTTCTTTGGTCAAATCGTGAAAGTTAGTTCGGATCATCAATTCCCAAAATCAAAAAAAAAAAAAAACACCAAAAAAACCCTTTTGGATGGCATATACAGTACCAAGAGAAAATACATAGATACATATACAGTCACTTGAGTGCTCATACA